GAGTTACCAATTCTCGCAATGATTGAGCAAATTCGTAACAAGCTGCAGTAATAGTTTCATGACCGACGTCAGGAATCACAAAATTGCACAAGTGTGCTGACTCCGGTTCAGGAAGATAAAATCTTTAAAACTCTAGAGGTTGCGATGAAGGTATGGGTGGAACCACTGGATTAGTTTCGCTTCTCCATGAGATGTGGAAGTAATATCGGATACATCGTGGAATAATTTATTTTAAATTATTTATTTAAATTGTTTTTGAATTGTTTATTTAATAATCTTAAAGAAAAGTGAGCAATACACGCTGTGTATATACAAGAATAGTTCACATACATGCAAATCGAGACAAACATGTCACATGCATGCAAAACGATGCAAAAATGTCAAATGCACGCAAAACAATGCAACGACCCTAAATGAATCCGACATGAAAGATCAAACAGACAAAACCAAGTTAGTTGACTTAGGGACGCAAGTAACTAACTAGGTGACGGATGTTATGGCAGTAGGGCATGCAATGAAAGAGCGTAGGTGACATGGTGGTTTGAAATATGTGACATGGTTCCTTGACGTCGTGACACTGTGAGTGAAGTTGCGTTCAATCCAATTTTGATGCAACGTGAACCAATGGGCATTCTAACGGCCTGAATGTGTTCATGACTGTGTGCTCAATGTGTGTAATCAATTAATCTGGAAATATTGATCAAAAATGTCAATGTGAATTCCATCGAACGGGTGGTGTGCATGGAAGATGATCAAAACTCAAAATGCAGTCAAACCATGGAAAATCCATCAAATACAATCCAACAGCTAAATCCTATCCTAAATCCCAACAAAAACGAATCGAAAGTCAAGGAATATGTCCAAAACGCGAAGAACCCTAACTTACGAATTGTTGAGCAATTTTTGATAAAATTTATTAAAAAAAAATATTGATACACAAATGCCTGAAACTGTCAAACCGAAGAACAGCCTTTTTCTTGTTGAACTCTGCTAAAACCATTTGCCTTGGCCTTTTTTTTGGAGAAACTGTGATTAAAAAATATAAAAATGTTATGTGATTTTTTAATAACCAAATTGAAATAATCCGTCGGCCGTCCTTGAATTAATGGATGGTATGGTAGTTGGCTAGTTTTGAGAAAAAATATATAAAAATAAAAATGGAATTGGAATTAGAACACAAAGTCCACCTACCTCTGTCAGTTTTTGACAAAGAAATTTCTGTCAGTTTTCACTTGGTTTCATTGTGCTATTTCAATTTATCCACTTTTACCAAGTCTAATTTTTCTATATGCTCAGTTAAATGTCAAAATTCATGTAGTAAAACAACGCAGAAAGAATAATTTTTTTTAAATTTACGTGCAAAATATTCTGTCAAACTTGTTTAATTGTTAGAGTAATTATATTTAGCCTCCTTTTATCAATAACAAACATACTCCAACAAAATAATATGACACATAATTTCAAAGAAAAAAAAAATTTCTTTTTTTTAATCACACATGTAATTTTTTTTTTTTTTAATTCCACCATTAAAATTTCAAATAATGAGAGCCAAACATGGGTTTATTGAAACCAAAATAGCCAAATTAGAACATTGTTTATCACAAAATAAAATTATATTTATCGCAAACTAAGGTCTGATTTGTAGAACATTGTTTATAATGTACATTAATACAATGGTCCAATTTGTAGAACATTGTTCAAAAATA